GAACGTTTAGGAAGCAATTTGTACGGACATACTGAGGTTATATGAAAATGGTGCTAGAGATACGACGGATGCAGAGGTTGGAGGGCAAGAAGATAGAAGTTGTAAACGACATTAAAAATAAGGTCCTTGCGCAATTTTTTTTGCAATTTGTGAAGAAAAAAACACACACTTACCTGATTCACTTGTTCTTTTTGTAAGTTTTGCATACTTAGGCTTTTCGCCATTCTTCTCTGCTAATTGTGTGACTCCATTCATTGAAAACACTTTGAATTGGTAATAGGTGAACACAGACAGATGTTTCACAGTGGATTTTCTGCTGTTTTTCGGGGAGTGGATGATTTCCACTTTATCACATTTTCCGGTGCAATTTTTGTCATCATTGCCACACTTTCGGCACTCCACTTGATAGTAATCGTCTGTCCGTCCTCCGAGATCGGAGGGGGCCTTCCATTGTATGACAACTAATGTTGCATTGATAAATGATGCCATTATATCTCGAGGCTCGGAAGGCTGTCCTAAGAATAGAAAGCATAGCTGTAGGATTCTTTCTATTATGACTTTTTCGAATTTTAACGACGTTTCGTGTTCCCGTAGGTGATAGTAATGATAAGTTGTCGTTGCTGCAGTTGTTATTTTAGCCTGTGTACATCCCGGTTTCCCACCCTTCCCTCCCTGCGGGGAAAATTCGGGGAGGAAACGTCGTTCTCTCCCCGATTTTTTCGGAGGGGTGAGAAACGGATGTACACAGGCTATTGTTATTTCGACTATACTGTTCATTACGTGTTTTTGGAGCAGAAACAACATTAAGTTGAAAAATACCAATCCAGTTAACGATTCAGCGCTAGTTTAGATGTCAGTAATATCTATTAACTCTAATATTCCGAAAAAAACTGTTACGGCCCTATGAAACTCAATATTACAATTACCAAACGAGTAGCAATGAACTTTTGAAATTTGCTAAAATAAGAGCTTTTTCAGGGTTTTTTTCACCCTAAGAGCACGCTCTGGAATTATACTAATGCTCTTTTCTGTCCCGGGATCCGTTTCTCGATTGCTGCAAACTGCATCGAGATTCACCAGTCCACCAGTTCTTTCTAGAATTTCAAGAAGGCCAATGGTCAAAGCATAACAGCAAAGTGCTCGATCCTAAAGATCACTGCTACTTACCAGTACAATTATCGAATATGCTTTCGTCGTTTGTCCTATAGAAGAGCCTTTCACAAATACATTCCTTTTTGTTACTATCCTGTACACTGTTTAGTGGACATTGTTTACATTTTTTGCCAGCTGGTGCATTTTGGTAGGTACCAGGTGGACAATCTACACAAGAAAAGGATAATTATAACGTATAGCACTGCTGTTAAATCACCTACTTCATATCAAGAAGCATTTTCTGTGAATCATTACAACCGGATGTAACGCAGGCTATTTATCTATCAATAGACTAAACAAAAGGATGTATGAATAATTCAATTTTTTCCTTCAGAATTCTCCAAATTTCTGTTTAGAAAAGCACCGTGGGCGCCGGTCAAATATTCTTCATTCTTTTAGAAATAGCTATCAACCTGTGGTAAGCGTACCTTTACAAACTGCACCAGATCCATTCAAGTATCTTCCATAGCCTGCTTTACACAAGCACCGATCACTTATCACCTGACTACTCCATTCTCCGTTAGCTTTGCAATTTCCATATAAGGTCGCATTGTCAGCCAATGGTTGTGCATTCTCAGCACAAGAGCCTGGCACCCGAATTGTACCGTTAGCTGGGGCTATAGTTCGTGGTAATTGGATGAGACCAGTAGGAAGAGCTAGCGATGGACAGACCGAGTAACTTATGGTCACACTGTACAACTCAAAACATCCTCCTTGATATTGTATAGCAAGGTAATAGTACGGTGTGGAAGGATTTGTAAGAAATGAGTGCTTCTCGGTATTTGCAAAATTTCGAGACAGAGAACCTGTACTCCGGTTTGTTGGAGATGTGATTCCGAATATGTGATAGACGTCAGGTGTTTGCCATGGTTCAGGCACCTTATGCTGTGTTGCAGTGTTGTAAACATAAAGTTTTAATGCTTCCTTACAGTATGCTAAAGACACACTAGTAGAACAATTAGAAACTGCGTATTGAACAGTGACATCAATTCTTGTTGCATCACCAACCCGGAACACATCGGTTCTTATCCACTTGTTTGGTTCACTGCCGGATGAGCTTACGTCACATACTTGGTAAAGCACTTTCCCGTCTCCATCTTTTGTACTAGTCCACTATATCAGGATGAAATGTTATGCGATTAAAGTAGTTAGCATTTTTTCACGAAAGTGATATCAATAAACATCGAGGCCGGTATATTGAATATAGTATTCAAAGTTAGACTGGGCGGCAGACACAAACGACACATCAAACAATGAAAAGACATAAAAAAGAATTCTAGTTTGCGGAGAACTTATATTAATTTTACTTATAAAACTTATTAATAATGCATAAGCTATTGCTCCAATAAGGGCTGACCATTTAATCAGGTGATTGACCTTGTAAATCTGATACAACCACTAGTGGTTGTATCAGATTTACAACACGGTCGTCACCATTGAGACAACCCAACACTAGCAAAGGTCTCAGTTTTAGTGTCGCATCATAGACCTTCACTAGGTTTTGAAGCAATCAAAGACGGATAACAGAACTGGGTTATGCAACAGATGGCTTGCTTTCCATGTGGGATGGATAATTATTCAAAATGTTCTGTGTTGCAGTAAATTGCGCATGCTTAATAGGGACTAAACTCAGCAGTTACCTTATTTGTCACTTTTCGTCATTTATCTCACTGTAATTCATGTTAATTTGTGTTGGAGTTTTATAAGTCGTTTACAACATTCGCGTCCGTGTTGTATGGGAATTACAATCTCTCGCCTGCGGCTCGAGATTGTAATTCCCATACAACACGGCCGCTCATGTTGTAAACTATACTTACAATTCAGTTTTTCAATAATATTGGAATACATGAATTACCTAAATAATATAATATTATATATGAAAGCCGGACATTACTTCTTACGTTTTGAACCACAATTATATGCAATATCCTTTGCGGCATACCCATCACTTTGCACCAGATTTTCATAATATAAAAAAAATATTTTTTTTTTTCACAGTTTTATTGCCTATTTCATTTCAGCTTTTGTGGCCCAGTTAGCACAAGAAGTTTTAATTTACTTTCCAAAAGTTTAAGCTAAAACTACGAAGGCAGTCGAGAGATATGAGGGTGGTTGTCTAGAAACCTAGGCGTTAGGGCCTTTTTAACAAAACGCACCGAAGTGAAAGTAGGGGGGTGATCATCTTCATGTTTAAGCATAGCCAAAGAACTTTAGGTAGTTGAGCATAGTCAATTTTGTGTGCAGGTCTCATCTATAGAGTTTGACTTTGCTGGCGAAGGCTAGTCACGTGATTAGCACTAGGTTAAAACCCTAGCCCAAAGCCCCGATGTACACCTAGCACAAGTCTAACCCTAAGCCAAATCTCAAACCTAAGCCTTAGACAACAATCCCAACCCTAACCATGAGTTAGCCCTAACCGCAATTTAAACAGAAAGTGCGAAAAAAACTGGTCACGTGACCCTCATTTTTTGAAATTAATTACTCAGTGTTACCTGACTGGTCCACGACCATATCCATTTAGGTTGATCGGCCTTCTTATATGGCACTTCAATAATAGTTTCTGGTATAAACAAATAAATCTACTTTAATCAAATATGGTAAATGCACATATTCATATCAAACAATTGCCTAACATTCGCGCGGGCTACCTGTGTCTTTTGTGGGATTCCTTATTTTCAAGGATGGGAGGGGACTAGGACAAAATTATAATGGCCGACATGTTGAAAAGCGATTTCTCTGCAAATTCTGTAAGTTTTAGACATTTTAAAGCACTAAAAGGTGGAAACAAATTGAAAAAAACTTTCTAACGTACTTCCTTATAAGGTAAAATTACCATATATGGTCAGCAAAAGTTTGGCACCCGAATGAATTTAATTTTCTCTGAGACAATTGTTTGATATGAATATATACTCTTATTATTATTATTATTATTATTATTATTATCTGATACATTTTAGGCATGTTTGATGCATAACACAGTGATATGTTACGAGTTGTTGGAATTCGAGGCAAAGCGCAGGCAAAGAGTATAAACTGAATCGCGAGCTGAAATATGCTCTTACAAAATAACAACAACTCTTCTCCTGAAAGCCGTGTTTCTAAACATTTTTCTCCGCTCTCATTGGTGGACAGCCGGCAACGTGACGCAATAGTGGCCAAAGCGGCACTATCAGTGCGCAGAGAATTTCAGAAAATTGTGTTGTTGAATTACGAACTGCGTTCTATTTGTTTTTCGGAGCATACAGCTTTGGCGGGCAACTATCACATCGCATAATGCCCTCGATGCAACTACTCTGTTGTTAAAATAGATGCACGTTTTTTTACACATCATGCAACAAATCAATGCAGACGTCATATGATAGTCATTATATGAAAAAAATAAAGAAAAGATAATTGCTGGTTTTCAATCTGAATCGCTTAATCAAGATTCATGAAGTCCAGTGGCCATGTTAGTTGAAGTACCATCACATGACTACCGTGACTCAAAACCAGCAAGTTTAAATCAAGGTTTAGATTTGAAGAAATTTTAAAACAGGGTCTCAGGACAACAATGGTAACGGGCACTCTAAAGCCTGGTTCACGCGAAGACGTAAGCACAAACACAAGTCGAGAACAAAAGAAAAGAAAAGAATGAAATAACATCAGCATAGGCCTTTTTCCAGTTCAATGCGAGAGACCGCTGTTTTAGTAGACAACAGACCACAGGGATCCCAGGTTCAGCACTTGTATTGCTTTCAAGTTGGAGTCAATGTACAGTTTGCGTGGTGTGCGGTTCGAGCCCTAGTCCTTCATTTTCTAAAACTTTTCAAGACTTTTTCTTTTTTCCTTCTTTCCTCAATAAGCATAAACATTTTTATGAATAAAGATTGATTTTTAAAGCCATTTTAACAGACTCACTTGCGTAAAGAACAAAAGAAAACACGAAAAAATGCTGACATAACAATGGCTCTAGAAATTTGAATCTTCTCCGATTTGAGGCTTAGCCTGAGCAAGAATTTGAGCCTTCTGGGAGCAGAGATACATTCTAGACATAAACTCTTTAGAAACACAAGAACACACTGGTTTGATTTCTTATTCCAAAATCTATTGTGTTTTCTTTTATTAACTGGAAATATGTCGTCATGTGAACTAGGACGAGCGAATTGGTCTTTAGCGCTTTTAAAATACGATGCATACCAGTTTCAGCTTGACACCACGCTATGAAAACAGAGACAAGGATTAAACTTGACAATGCAGAAGGAAGTGCACACTTCATGCCAGGAAAAGTAATCTGCAAAAAAGAATAAAAGCATCAATATTAAACATATAAGGATAAGATAAGGAAGAAGGGAGAGTCGAGGGCTTTTACGAAAGCCAATAATGCTCTGTAGGCGTGTGACTTGTATTGTAAATTGGTAGGAATAATTGTTCAACATAACTATCCTTTAATCGACTTGATCAGTATTATTTTTTGTTATGCCCGCATCCAGTTTATTTTGATGAGTCAGCATCAAGACCTCCTGTATATTCAATGCTTCAATGCTCTCTTATATCGTCTAATATCATTTTCAAGATCAGATATAACAAAGCAATCAATTAACTAGATTGCCACAAATCAATTTCTTTGGACGCAAGAAATTAATTAAGAAGAAGCAGTCGAGTGCTGAGGGAAAATTCGAAAATAAAGAAACCAAAAAAGAGAGGGAAGGGGGTGCCGGGTGATAATGGATATTTTAAGTCAGACAATCAACCATTTTAAAAATGAAGTAATCCATTATCGGTGTTATACACAATGAATTAAATTTATTGACAACCACTTTCTATGTATTTATGTACTGGAAGGAATAACTTTGCAAAAGATCTTGAATATTGTGGTTCCTTATATAGTTAATAAGGGTTACGATAAATCATAATTTACGAGGAACTTTGACAATGAGAGAGACGATTAAACATAGGATGTAAAATTAGGGTCAATATTATATAAAATCAGGCATACTACTAGTTTTATCGCAATAGTTTATGGTGGTCTGACATCTCGACTAATAAATGGCATTCTAAAAATTGTAAAGCACTTAAAACAATAAGATTATTTAGACACGTGATAAAATATCCATCAGCAATAGGAAAGAAGTGTTTAATCCAGTCATTATAACTCATGTACCGACTACGAAATCTAAGGAAATACTTCATATAATTTAAACACAGAGTAGACTAGATTGTGTATACATTTATAATTTCATATTCAAGACATATGTTTGCCTTATTATATATTCTCAACTAGTAAAAGCATTCAGCATTTCAGTACTTCCTACGTCTGTGTCGATACACTGAAATAGTCAGCAAAAATTACTAGCGTTTTGTTCGAATCTTACTCGATCGAAGGCTGCTTTCGAAACTTGATATATATGTAAACATAAACTGAATATAAAAGCTTTAGTACTTACCTTATAAACGAAGAAAATGGCCGACTTTATGCTAGATTTGTTAGCGATAACTGTCCATGTTGATTTATCAAAGAAGTGATGTCACTAGCAGGATGACACTTCATGGATCGAATCACATGGAGAATGTCACGCAATGGAATAAATGCGTTATGCACACTAAAGACGTAATTTTATCGTTCTTAAAAAGCTAGTAAACTTTGGTTAGCAACTGCTTTTTATACATGATTTTGTGTTAATCGTGATGTATATTCTTTAAAAGATTCCCGGTTCAATGTGTTTCTTCTTTCAGCCTGTACAACACCGCCTTTAGCTGTAACGTTACAGTTATACTATAGTTACTTTATTTCCTTATGGAAACTACCATATCATGCCTTTCTTTTCTTTTTTTTTTCATCTCTCGGGTAGTATTTTTCCAAAGAGGAATTATTTGCAAAGAATAGTAACTAGGTAATTGATATCTAAACATACTTATAAAGGTGAACAAGGATTTGATGAGAAAAATTGTTTTTTGGTAAGAATTTCCGCATACTATGCGAGCGAATCATCATTAACCTGCATTTATGATAAGGTCAGCTTTTGAATAAAGGACTTTGTTTTGAACAAAAACATCTGCTTTCTGAATTGCTAATTTAGAGTTGTATGTTGTATGCTCTTCTACCTTTGAATAACTAAATAGGCAATTAAGAATGTAAGATTCCGCTTTAGTAGTAAATACCACCTTGAATTCGTGAAATTTATAGACAGCTTATTATCGCCGAGAGTGGATATATAACGTGTATTTTATAATCTCACTGTAAATAATATAAAAATTTAGAAAATGACTTTTCTGGAATTATATCAGACGTCTTCCATGATCTTTGCCATGAGATCATACAAAAAAATGTGCATTTTCAAGCAAGTATACATAATGTCTTAGCACCCCGGAAACATAAGCATTTTGCCGTCGGCATTTAGTTTATCCAAAATGTTTGATAAATGTTTCACTTTATTGACAATTTAAATTAATCCAGATAGAAATATTTCATAAAACCTTGAATACTGAATTCTACATATTCTGTAAAATAAAAAGACATTGTTACATTGTTGCTATTAAACTCTACTTTAGCTGCGTTACAAAACAACGATTATAAACTTGATTGCCTTCGACTAGTGATACTATATGAATGTATGGAGCTGATATGCTGAGCATGAAACCACGAAAACACCTTTTTTCAACGGCGCTTCATCGACCCCAGAAATGCATTGCGGTCTTGAAATATACTGAAATATATCTCCAGTATTCAACATTTTCTGAAATAGCTGTGTACGGAGAGAGAAAATCGCGATTACGATTAATTGCTTGCATGACATCAACCATTTGCATGCCGCTGTGCCCGTAAGATGTCTAGATGTGGCTGAGGCTAGAAAGCTATATCGTAACCGCATTCTTGGAAAAGCCGGACAATCAACATCCATATTTTTTGCAAACAATTTATTAAAACGAAAGATTAGCGCTACTATACAACTTCGATGGCAAAATGCCAACAATTCAACAACACTAACATAGTCCTCCTTACTATTAAGAACAAAAAATACATTTGTACAAAATTAGAATTATCTGTGAATAAGATATAATAGTTTCCTCTCTTCGGTTTTAAATGTTAAATTCCAGTCAACAAATTCATTAATTTTATAGCGCGTAGACTCGTTAATACCGCGACCATGACCTTGYCAATTTAAGGATCTTTGAAGTGCTCGTATTTTTGCTCGCAACTCGCACATGYGCATCTCATAATGACGGTCAATCYYTCATCCTTAAAAGATATCTCCCATTGAGATTTCTCCACATCGATTATAATGAATACAATTTTGTCGATACCAAGCAATATCTATATTCAAAGCATAAACCGAATCGTGCAAGGAATCATTGTACGATTTGTATGATTGTATGATTTGTAAGATTTTTTGACATTTTTCATTCACCCAACTCAAACAAAAGCTTCTTCCTCCCCTTTGTCAGCAAAATGGTCACGTTCGGGAACTTTCGATTTTCTTTTCATTTTCTTAATGCTCTTGCTTATTTTATTGCGGTGCCCAATCAGGTTGACTCCAATTCTAGTGAGATCATCGTCTTTAATCAATTTCACATGCGCAATGTCCACATATCCCGCRTCTTYGAAKGAATTCGCATAGCGAGTCATGCTGATGCTCTCCAACCATTCTTGGACCGGTGTTTCGTCTTCGAGGTCAATGCTAACATTTGTGCTGAAAAACAATGTATTSAGTAGCATTTAAGTCAGCCTTACCTATACTTTTGGATCTTCAGGCATTGTAGGAAAAGAGAGGATGAGAATTGAGTAGGTTTCGCAAGATACGGATATACTGGATTTAGAGCTGAGAGGGTTGACGCCAGTTTTGCTCGATATTGGCTCTTGGTGTACGGAGTCAGCACTAAAAATAGCTTATTCTTATTTAGGCTATGTTTTAAGGCGAAATTAGAAAATTAGAAATAATCTCTTCGTGATCTAAGGCCAGGTGCTCATCTTATGTCGCTCGATCATCGGCCGGGAAGAAGTCACAAAGATCAACAGAAAATATTATCCCGGAAAAGTTTGCGTATACACAGTCATTTTTTCAAAACAGTATATTAGGAAATAAGTTATTATCCAATTATGATGATCGACGTATATAAACATCTGTGTCGGCCATTTGGGTGCACGGGCAGCACAATTAAAAATATCTGTCATTACTTTTAACCTCAAGCGTTGGTGCACGTATTAATAACTTATGTATATTCATAAGTTGCATGACTTACTTTGCGTAACGTGCATTTGCCGAGTCATCAGTTATCTTTTCTGGAGAGAATATCAGTTCTTCAAGTCTTTTTACGATTTCAGCAAACTTTGGTCTATTGTTCTTGTCTGCTTCCCAACAGTCCAACATAATGTTATGAATTGACTTGGGACAATCCTATTTGTGGTAAAATGGAG